TAGGGATTCATCTCTTTCAAGTCTTTCTTCATGTTCGATGAGATCATTAATATGCGTTGTTTCACATTGTTCTTTATTACATTAACGAATCCAAAATCGAATGATATTATCCTGTCGAGATATTTTTCCACTAAAAAAAGTCGATGAAAGCTGTTCTTGCAAACATTCACAGAGTTCAGCCCGTTTTAATTTTGAACATCCATTCCATCTGTCATTTTCACATCGAATATTCAATGCTCGAAGATTCTGTATGGTTTTGACAAGAGCAAGTATGCATGTTCGATCTATTACAAAGACGTTCAAAACTTCACAATCAATACTTGGTATAATACTACTTAACGTCGTACATTGCTCCCTGTTCAAGGATTGACCATAGGATAATAATTCCAATTGATATACGGATACATGTCGACTTTGAAAAAGCTGCATTAGATAATTTGATAAAGTCTGCCAATCAATACATATTGAAGATAGATGTGATGCTCGATCAAGTAAATCTTTTAGTTGATTTTGACAATTATCATCATGATTATTTGATAACACATTAAGCGAAATCAAATAATCATGTCTTGGAACTAGAGACCAAAAATGAGGACTGATTGGAAATTCCATTGAAAGATATTGAATATTGAAAAATTATATATGAGACAATAATGGCACGTTGAATAGATCATGTTGTCTGTATATCAAAGTCACATTGAACATACCATTGATGTTTCACAAGCCAAAATCGTCTTCGAAATGTGTCAAGAATTTCGTCAATTTGTTTTTCTCCTTCCAACTGAATCTATAGTGACATTTTAAATTGTAATCGTGTAAGCTTCGGTAAAGAATTACGAATGATCTCCTCCCATTTTGCTCCATTCAGAAAAAAGTACGCAGAGCTGAGTTCCACTTTCAGACGGCACAAATTGGGCATCATTGGTAACAAATCCAAAAAGCGATCGTGAAATAGGAACTTTGATGGTAATATAATCAAGGTATTTATTGACAATACTGTTGTCGAAGAATATATGTGTGGAATCATACACTGATCGACCGAAAGACGTGGCGTGTAAGCGAAAAGATCATACATATTTATGTTACACTTTTCAAAACCAACAAATGACAAACATTGAAGTGTTGATGAAGTGATCATTGGACAAATGAAAATGCCGTTATTTCGACGGCATTTATCGACATAATGATGCACGTGTCGATATTTATATTCAACTTTAAAGCAACAATAAAGGAGTTTAGGCGAACTCTAAATATAATTTCCAAAAGAAATGGCTTTGTGATTATTTCGTGATGAAAAATAACATTGTGCGAAAGTTAGATGAGTAAGATTTGATAAATGAGGCAAATCAAACATAATTTTGTCCATCATTGTCTCAAATAGAATATTATACAAATAAACTGATCGTAAATGATTGCATTGACGAAATGTAAAACCGTATGAGAAAAATTGTTCGTCTTGTCCAGGTGTATCGTCGTCGTTTGAGAAACAAAGTGAAATTATTTGATGGATTATTTGTGTAAGATATTGTTGAGAAATAGTATCGAAACCGGACTTAGATATTGATCGAAAGTCGATATGACACAACCGTCTTATTTTTCTTCATTGCCGTGCTGTTAACAATAGAGAGAAGGACGGCAACTATGATCGTTATTTTTTCTTTAGGCTGTCATTTTGCCTTTATTCTTCTTTTTTCTTTTGGGAATTCGATACTTATTACTCATGTTCTGTATTGACATAAGAAATACACAAGTTTTGAAATATCTAATTCTATGATTTTTGCAAAAATGATGAAATTCGATTTTGACGATCATTAGGTGAAGATTTTCACCAATCCATAGGTGACACATGTCGAAGCTCGGAAATGATATACATATATAAATGTTATGGCGAGACAGTTTCTCGATATGACAATCAAGTTAGATTGATTATGAAACACCACCGAACTATAGTATCTTTGCATGTGAAGACAAGGTGTGAGAGTCACACAACTTCGTCTTAAAACTTTCGCTCATTATATTTTATTTCGAAATATACAATGTGAGTTTCACAAAAGTATAAAATCTTCTGTTATAAGAAGAAATTCAATTCTTTAGACAAAACATTCATCAAATAATAGTAACATGGTGATTGAAGAATATTATTTTCTTCCAACATATCAAAGAATAAAAATTTGCTAAGATCAGTAATTATTTAGATCATGATTATCAGATGAAACAATTGAATATTGGAAAGTTGCTTTCATGCATAAATACTTAGTTTAGTTTTTCTATCAACATAATATCTTTTACTATGTTTCAATTCATTTATAATCTCTTTACAGCGAGTTTTGACACGAAAATCATTTTTGCAAGAAACATAAACAATTTCTAGAGCATAACATTATGATTATAGTGAATTCAAGTGAAAATCATTAACTCTTTTATAGATGGAAAAGTTATAAAATTTTTATATAAATCTCCAATGTGAAAAACTTGACTCTTTATTAGAAAAAAATTGAAATCTCGATAATGGTTCCAGAATCGGAACAAAATCGTAAACATGTCATCAAATCGAAAAAAAAGTTCAAAAATTGGAATTTTTCTTGTGAATAGAAATCTAAGAAACAATGTATATTATGTTCTCATTCGTTAAAAAACAAAATATAAACTTTGTAACTCTATAACAAAAACTTAAAATTTTGAATAAAACTCAAACTTTTCTTTTGTCATCAAGTAATTGAAAACATTTTGATTTCTTTCAATGTATATTATCTATCATTCTAAATGATTGTTTAGTTTATTTTTTTTATATCACATCAGACATAACAATTTACAATGTTTTTCAAAAGTCTCTATTGAAAGAGACAAAAAAAAAACAAAGTGATTTTTATAGATGTCACTTTATTTCTTTCTCAAAAAATTACCTATCAAAAGTTCACGAAAAAAAAAAAGAAATATGAAGAATTCATTAAAATAAAAAAATCAATTTTTTTTGTTAGTAATTTTATTGGTAAAAATCATTTCAACAAAAAAAAAAAAATACATCGGATATCTATCTATCCATACATGACACTACTATAATGTTAGTTTAGTTAATAATAATCAACTATATATAGATTTATAGATTATGACAGGCTTTTCTAAAGTAGCTATCTATCGACAAGATATGCCACCAAGAGGTGGTTATTCTCCAATACCATGGGCACGATTACCATCACGTCGTATACCTTTATGGCCATTTGTTTCTGCATGGTTAGCATCAAATATATTTGGATATTTTTATCATACATCTGAAAAACGTGAATATTGGCGAAGTGGTAAATAAATAATTTCTTCTTTTTTCTAATATTTAAATAAATTTCTTTTATTTTGTTAAATATAGAAATGGAAATGGATGAAAGTCGTTCATGTATAGAACCAATTTTATTAGCTGAACAAGATCGTATTGTTTTAAGACAATATCGAGCTAATCGTGATGAAGAAACAAAACTTATGAATGATGTACCTAGTTGGGAAGTTGGTACATGGTTTGGTGAAAAAGTTTTTAAATCACGTACATTTTTTCCTGATCGACCACATATACTTGATTATTATGCACTTGCACGTCCATCAACACAACGTTTAGATGTTAATGCAAGTCAATGGCAAATTTAAGATAAAATAATACAGATTAGTTTTCATCATTGATCCTTCAATTTCTTCTTTGTTTTTTTGTATCCTTGTAGAATAAAATCAGATTAAATTTTGTGTTCTTTTTTTTTTCAGATTAAATAATTTAGTGGAAAAAAAGAAATATTTATATATTTATTAATTCAAGAATAAAAAAATTTTTCAAACAGGTAAATGATTTTTATTATTTTTTTTTTGTTATTAAAGATAGATCAAAATACGAATTTCAGTTTTAGTTTATTTCAAAAAAAAACAAATGTATGATGCATATCTTTTTTTTATTTGAGTATTGAAAATATAATTTTGAGAAAATATCTTTTTATAGACGTTGTTTTTTTACACTTTAAAAATTAACACTTTAATCATATCTTGAATGTTCTTCACACAAACTATTTTAATAGAGAAAGACAAAACCCTTTTTTTTTGTGACCTGTAAGATTGCTTATTTTTCTGTACCAAATGACTCGTAGTTGTTTTTTTTTTCTTGTTTTGTTGTTTAGTTATTGAAGAGATTGAAAAATAAATTATTAGAATTATATTTTAACATAGAATAAAATTTGATCGTAAGGTAATATTACAAAAAAAAAACAAACTAGCAGATGGTACTTATCCCAAGTATTCAAATCGAATATTTAACGATTATAGTTGTTTTTCATTTTTAATCTGATTTTCTATTTGAGTGTAAATCTTTAATTTATATTTACAGAAAAACAAATCAATGAATAAGAATATATTATTTTTTTTTTATATTCTAGATTATATTTTGTTGAAGTTTTATTTTTATAATTGATTCTTGCGATTTATCTTTTCAGTATGTATACAGAAGAAAAAAAAACAAACATTGTGAATTTCTTTTTTTGTTTTTCTTAATATTTACATTAATAACCGTATACTTTATAATTTGATATTATACTCATGTATCAAATATCTATATTAGGTCATATGAATATTCTGTTTAATAGATATACTAGTAAAATAATAACATCAATATGATAGTGATGAGGTTTTTTTTTGCCTAAAGAAAAAGAGTATATCTATTCAATGTTCTTCTTTTTTGAGTGTAATTGATGCTTTTAGAATGATAACTACTGTAGATATTATTAGATAATCGAAAGTGAATTTTGTTGAATAGAATCCGAACTCTTTTTGATCATTTCTGCGACTTTTATCTGAACTGGTGAAAATTTTCTTTTTTTTTGAGATACTTTAGACTATATCTCAGAAGTAATTTTAAACTTTTTCAAAAATCTGGATTTTATTGAATAAGAGAAATACGTAAAGATTCGGATTCAGAAAAAAGCAATATTCTGAAAAACTCATTACCCTCAAAAATCAGTCTTAGGTTATGTACTCATAAGTTGAATAATTCGATAGAAGTACTTTTTTTTTAATATGATAATAATAACGCTTAGTTCAATAAACCCACAGTACAGCTACAATGAAATTCTTTCGAGAATTCTGAAGTATGCAATCAGAAGAAAAAGCGCTATGCCAAATAAAAAAAAAGAAACATTTTTGTTTTTTTGTAGAAGATCTAATCTTCAGTTATCATAAAACATTTTTTCTATTTAGAATTATATGTTTTTGTTTCAACAATTCAAATGCCTGGTGCCAGTTTAAATTATGTAATTTTAATCAATGAAATCGAATTTTTTTAGTTTTTTTTTTATAAAAATATTTTAGCATTCATCTTTATCTGTTGATGAAACAACAGCATATTCTCGACGTATTCATCCATCTCAACAATATTATTATCAATCAATAGAACCATCAAGTTTTTATACGTATCAATCTCAATTATCTATTCAAAATGATCATCAACAAAAATCTTCATTATCAACAACAGATACAAAAAAATGTGAATGTAAAATTTATTTAATTAATTTAATTTTTAAAAAAAATAAAAAAATATAAAAACAAGATATTTTGTTTCCTATTCGATATATAGGGAATGAACTTGAAGTTACTGGTAATGTTCGTAATTTATCACCAATTTTATGGACATTATCACAATTAACTGTTCTATATTTAAATGATAATCAATTAACACGATTACCATCGGAAATTGCTTGTTTAACAAATCTAGTCACACTTGATTTATCAAATAATAAATTAAGAAATTTACCATCAGAAATCGGTATGTTTATAATTTAAATATAAAAACTTATTGAATCATATTTTGATAGTCTCAATTCAATTATATTTCTTGAAAGATTAATATTCGTTTATTTACATTTTATTAGTTTCATTCAGGGGCGGTGCGCGCGGGTACCCCCCTACTTTGAGAATTCTTGCTCAGATTTTTTTCCTAATTTAGAGAGATTATTAAACAGTTTTCTCCGATTTTGGAAAAATATAATTCGGACAAATTTTAGGCTACTTTCTCCGATTTTTGCGTACCCCCCTGGTCCCATTCAACGAACAGTTCGATAGATTTCAATTCTTTATTATGAATAATACAATAAACGAACTCATTCTAAATCAGATTACCTAATGTATTTTAATCTAGACTATTTAATGACTAATAGAGATAGTGACAACAAACGTTATTATGTTTTCATTATCCTTAAGCTTCCACATCGATGAAAATTAATTCAGTAATCTACTATCTTCGACTATCGAAATAGTCGCCTTAGGTTATTCTTTTAATTGATAAATGCAAGATTTTATATCATCATATTGAATGATCTAATATTCTCTAAGGACATAACTATAATATATGAATACATATTTTGATTGAAAATGATCATAGAAAATTTCAGTAATTCATAAGAAACTTTACGTACATCAATATTCATTGAACAATTTAATTATAGAATGAATTTATTCATTGTATTAGATGTAAAATTTTTATAGTATAAAATATATTTTCATAATTATCAAAAATTTAATTATTTCATAATTTATTAAATATATTTAGGTGAACTTATATCATTACGTGAATTAAATTTAACAAATAATAGTATTCGAAATTTACCTTATGAATTAGGTAAATTATTTCGTTTACAAAGTTTAGGTAAATTTTGTTAAAAATTTTTATTTTTTTTAATATTCAAAAATTCTATTTTAACTATAGGATTAATGGGAAATCCATTACCAGCTGAAATTTTTACAATTTATACTGAATCTAATGGTTTACAAAAATTATTAACTTATTTTCTTGATAGTTTACCATCATCTCTTAATGGTATAACAACACAAAAAAAAAAATATTTTTTTTTTTTTGTTTCTTCTTTATTTCTTTTCGTAATTCACGATCGTCATGAGTTTCTTTTCTCGTAGAAAATTTTCAGGAAATAGGTACTATTATCATTATATTTTCTTTTTATACAACATCACATCAAACAAAATCTCTACGAGGTGAGTAAGTTTTTTTTTTTTTTTTTTTTTTTTGTTGTGATTTGATAAACTTATGTTATTATAATGTTGTTGTCAAGGAAAACTTGATAATTATACTTATATATATAGTAGCGGAAAAAAAGTTTCACAAGAACATATATTTTCTATAATCATAAGTAATTAGCTTATATACTAGATAGTGATTTTAATAGTCAATAGAGTTTTATATCTAGTGCATTCTATGTTTTTTTTTTGTGATACTTCTTTAGTTTTTAAGAGAATGCGGTGACCCCTCGTTTAAAGAATGTTCTCAAAACCAAAAGAAAAAAGAATATTGTTCGGCATGAAATCTTTTGATCATTTTTGTTTTTTTTTTTTTGTTTCTCATAGGGTGACAATAATAAGGATAATTTATTCTATAGAATAATAATGTTAAGTAGTTATTTAAAGAATCGAACAAAATTTCTTTGTATATATATATATATATATATATATGCTTTATTATTTATTGCTATCAAAGCGATATGTTATACTATTTTTGAGTTTAGAGAATTATTTTTGTCTGATGTTATGTGTGTGTGTTTTTTTCTTCTTTCTGAAAATTGTTGCCTAATACACAAAGATGTCGACGAAACAGACGCGTGGGTATGCTCAGTATTATATTCCGACCCCAAAAAAAAAAGGAAACAACGAGAAACAGAACAAGCATAAACCAGAAACGGTAAAACTACGACATTAGTTGTTTTTCTTTTTTTTTGTTCCTCGACGTTTTTTTGAACAGAAAAGAAAAGAAGATTATTTTTCTGCTATTTGTTTCTTTTATTTTTTTGTTGTTGCCTTCGTTATATTGTGAATAATCGAACTTCTATTAATCTAACTCTTGACATATTCATTTCTTTCTTTCTTATAATAATCAATTTATCATATAGAAAACCTTATATTTCTGATAGAATGAAAATATATTTCTTTCTTGCTGCCGACATTCATATAATCCTCTGATAAATATAATGATGATCACTATGAAAGTTAGTGAAATAATTGACCTTTTATTTTGTTTATAGAATCAGAAGAGCTAAAAACAAATCGGTTATTTTCCAGATCATTTATCTATAATATATTTCGTTCTGTTTTTATTTTTTTTTGTTTTTCTTAGTGTATGTGAGACATTCAAAAATGTCATTGTAACATGTGTTCACTGACTGAACCACGTCGTGCTATTGTTTCATGTAAACATATATTTTCATCGTATACGAATGAATGTTCAACAACAACAACAACAACAACAACATCTTCATTTCGATCAACAAAACGAAGATTAAATGACAATATTTCAAATACTAAAGTCTTTCAAATATCATTTGATGTTGAAACAAATTTCTTAGTTAATAATGATAAACTACTCAGGACATCATTAAATCCACTTTCACCTACTTTCTATTCTCATCATCATGAAGAATTAATATCAAGGTAAATAATAATAATAATAATAAATTCTCACTCGTTAATCTATTTCTTTTTATTTTCATGAAATAAAAATAACTTTTTCTCTTTGGCTTAGTAATTAAAGAAAAATAATTTTGATATTTTCCTTGAAAATAAAATTTTGTTATAAAAACAAAAAAAAATTCATTTCCAGGGTTTATTAATTATTTTTTTTGTTCTAGTGACATTAACTATCAATGTAAGACATCTGGTTATGATAGTGGTATTAATAGTAGTAGTAGTAGCAGCAGCAGCATTACAAATCCAGGACAACAATTATCTCCAATTTTAATAAATAATGACAATCAACCATCATTTACATTTTCAATTATTAATAATAATAATAATTCAACATCACAAATTCGTCGTAAATCTTCATCATCATCATCATCATATGAATCTAATCATATAATATTATGTTCATGTGAAAAAGAAAATTTAAATAATCGTAAACGTTATAGACGTTATTTAAAAAAAACATCATATGATAATTATCAAACAAAACGTATTAAAATAAATTATCGTAAAAAAAATTTTAAACAAAATATTAATAATTCATTAATTAAATTTAGTATTGATTTAACTGGACAAAATATTAATTATACAATTGAATATCATCATAATCGTATTATATTACCATTTTATTATGATTTTTATTATATATCATGGCTTCAAATATATTATTATTATTATTATTATTTATATTTTTATTATTTACAATTTTTTGATCGAGAAGAGTGTGAGCTAAAAGAAAGAAACTCATGACGATCTTTTCTTCCCTTTGATTTTTTTTAGTTCAAAAAAAAAAATTAGAAGATTTTGAAAAAAATTTTTTTTTTTGTTTTTTTAGCTATTCAACCACCACCAACACGATCATGGCTTCGTCTTTCATCACCAAATACAACACAACCAACAGCTATATTTACAATAATGAATTATAATATACTTTGTGATAAATATGCAACAAGACATGTTTATGGTTATTGTCCATCATGGGCATTAAAATGGGATTATAGACGAAAACAAATTCTTGAAGAATTACGTTCATATTCAGCTGATATTATTGCTCTTCAGGTAAATTAAAGTAAAATTTCTTTTTGTTAGTATATTGAAAGTTGAGATAATAATGAACGTCATGACGTTTTTATTTCGATAGAATATTTAATACAATACGAATTATATCATTCATGTGGATCAAGACGGAATGAATAATGTGTGATTTTCTTTTTTACTCTTGAGATTTAATACAATTCGACAGATGAAATTTAGATAAAGTATGTCGAGAAATTAAAAAAAAACGAAATAATATTTTTTTTTTCTTGTCAAATTTCAAGATGATTATAAGAAAATAATTTGTTTCTTTTTTGTAAATATTTTGATTATAATTCAATCTATTAAAAATGAATATACGTAAATCGAAAAGTGTTTTTTTATTCATAATTATTATTCATTTAAAATTTGACGTAAACATATTTACTAATATACTTGCTATAGAAAGCAAAAAACAAAAAGAAACTTCGATTTGAAAAAGATTGTTTTAATAGTTTTTTCATTTTGATATTAATTACATTTTTATTTATACTGCACTTTTATAAGATACGATTTACGAGAGGTCATGAAGTATATACAATAGAAATTTTCATTTCACCAAGATCATGTCAAGTGGGATCGATAAGCCGCCATCAATACGTGAGAAACTACTTACTATAGGCGTAAAAGATAGATACCTTAGCAACACTCCCACATTACCAATTCACCATAGACGTTATTGATATGCGATCATCGTATTAATACGCCTTCTCCTCCCCCTCGTTTTTTTTTGTTACAGGCAGAAATGAGATTGATTCGCAAATTTATAAAATCAAATTGATTCCACCTCTAGTCACAGATCGTGACAGACATTGTTGATATATGATCGTAAACTATATATAAATGACGTCATGTTATAAAATATGAACTAATTTCTAATTGCATGTCTGATGGATTATATAAAAACAAAATATATATATTCCAAAATAGATAGAATAAAACAATCTCTCTCGGATGAGCATGAGTAGCCACTTCATGTTTCATATTTCAATTCCGCAGAGATTGTAATGACAGTTTTGTTTCTCATTATGAAAACAATATTTATTAATAATTCAAACATATTTTTTTCTTTTTGTAATTATTAAAAATGTTCTATAGAAAGATAATTTATATTTATAATTAATTTGTATTTTAAAAATTTGAAATTTATTTTTATAGGAAATTGAAACTGATCAATATTATTCATTTTTTTTACCTGAATTACAAAAAAATGGTTATGATGGTGTATTTAGTCCTAAATCACGAGCAAAAACAATGTGTGAACAAGATCGTCGATATGTTGATGGATGTGCTATATTTTATCGACAATCAAAGTATAAAAAAATTTTTAATTTTTCTTTTTTTTGATTAAATTATTCATTTATATTTAAAAGATTTCGTTTAATCAAAGAATATCTTGTTGAATTTAATCAATTAGCTATGTTAGCTGCAAATGGTACATCATGTCATGATATGATGAATCGTGTTATGACAAAAGATAATATTGGTCTTGTTGCATTTCTTGAAACAAAAGAAGAAATTTATTCTCATACATTTTCAAATGGTAATTTAACTAAAAACAAAAAAAAAAAAGATGAATTACCTCTTTTTTGTTTTTTTAAAGGTGTTTTACCACCAGATCATAAACAAATGTTATTTGTATGTACAGCACATATACATTGGGATCCAGAATATTGTGATGTTAAAGTTGTACAAACATTTATGTTATTATCAGAATTAAAAACAATTATGGAAGATGCTATACAAAAACATCGACCAAATTCAAATTTACCAATCGATTGTACATCAGTACCATTAGTTCTTTGTGGAGATTTTAATTCATTACCTGATTCAGGTAAATATAGAAACAAAAATTGATCTATTATTAATCTTGTTTTTTTCCCTCTTTTGACGAAAAAAAAATAAAAGGTGTTATTGAATTAATGCGTACAGGAAAAATTTCAATGAATCATGCTGATTTTAAAGATCTTAGTTATGAATCATATTTACAAAAATATTGTCGTATTGATGAAAGTTCAACACCAAGTAATGATATTATACATCATTTTAAATTACAATCAGCATATGAAACAACATCAGCACCTATTATGCCTTATACTAATTATACGTAAGTTATTATATAAAAAATATTTCAGACAAAATCAATAAAGTTCGTCAGATGATTGATCCCGAATTTGACAAAAAAAAATTGGATCATTCTATTGAATTTTTTATTAAAAATAACTGCCAAAACAAATTGACATTTTTTCGAGATAATTAAGAGTACTTGAATATTGAAATCAAATTTCATAGCAAAGATTATTAACTTTTTAAATGAAGAGAAGATCGATTGCAAATGTTATTAGATATTTGAATATAATTCTATCTTATTTAATCTTACATATTTCTTAATCAAAATAATAGCTATTCGAATATAAAATTTTAATATATTCAAATAATTGTATATGAACTAGAGATGATGAAACGATCAAAATATTTCGTTGTCTATCATTTATTAATATATGCAAATTTATTTCTTTTATTTGAGAGTTTATTTCTAATCGTGATAACTCTCGTTCGTCATCTTTTTCTTATACTAGAAATCGAATGTATAATTGAATGAATCTATCCTAATTTAGTCTAGTCGAGAATTAATATTCATTTTTGTTTTTTCTTTATAAAATTATTTTAGTTCTTTTATTTTATTGATTGAGATATAATTTTTTTGTAGGTATGATTTTAAAGGTATTATTGATTATGTTTTTTATTCAACACAATTAATGCGTGTACTCGGTGTATTGGGACCACTTGATCCTGAATGGCTTCAAACAAATAAAATAGTCGGTTGTCCACATCCAAATGTTCCATCGGATCATTTTTCACTTCTTGTTGAATTTGAACTTAATCCAATAAATGAGAATTTAAAAAATTCAACAACATCAATGTCTACAAGACGACAACAATAATAATAATAATAATAGAAAGAAAAGATGCTCGCAAGAAAAACATTTTTTTTTACGGTGAAATCTCAGGGTTTACAAAGGTTATCTTGATTAATTTTTATTCTTCTATGTCTTTTTTTCTTTTTGTGTATTATGTATGTCTATCCTTCGATTAACATGTGTTTTTTTTTTCAAATTGTCACAACATGTATAGTTTTCTTTGCATTTTATATTGACTATTATCTTCTGTTTTTTTTTTTTCTTGTCCATCATCTATCATTTTCTTCAAGTGACACAAAAAAAAAAAACAATACAAAAGTTCGTGTTTTTTTTTTCTTTATTGTTGTTTGTTTGTCGATGTTTATTCTTCTTCTTCTTTTTTTTTTATATGTGTCTGTTTCACGGCAATTTAAAAAAAGGTCGTCTAATAAAAATTTAGCAAAAGCAATATCAAATTTTTCAATTCTTTATATTCAATATAAAGTATTTATTATGTATTCAGGATACAGTCATAAAGACGTGACGATCCGCTTCAATAAATCCTTGTTTAAAAAAAAAAAACGTCAGCTATTAACAAATAGAAAGGATTATTTATTATATATGCATTCATAACTATAGGCCCATAGGATTCAAAATTTTCCCATCCAGACCTGATTGAACCATACGTTGATATTCTCAATGAAATTTTCTAATTAAAATTGAATAGTTGTCCCAAAGATACGAGATAATGTTTTTTAGCTTTTTTTTGGTATTTCTATGACATATTACATTTTTTTTGTTTCAATATTAATACATAGTAAGATCCATTGTCATTTATCTCTAATAGATATAAATTTGCAAATTGTATTTCAATCGTCTCATGAAATCAGTTCCATGTTCTATTACTAATATTATAGTCTATAATGTTCTCTAGCAAATAAATCAAATATGATGATCATATAATCAATGATTATCAACATGTAACACTTTGGTTGTATTAGTGCAAATATCTCTCTGAAAAATCAAGACTCAAAAAAAAAAGAAAACAACATTTGACAATCAAGTACATTTCCTCGAGGTCTTCATGACCTATTTTCAAAAAGTTTGATGTGAACTTCTTGTGTTTTACAAATTTGAAGTTTGTTGAAAATAGTTCATAAAAAAAAACATTTTTCTTTGGCGCTTAATTAATTCAATTCTTAACAATGCGTATTCCATATTTAAATCTACCATGTATATTAAATGAAACATGTTTTCATGGACAATGTATTCATGTTGATGATTTTCTTATTGGTTGGTATGAATTTTGTTTATGTAATTATTATTATTCAGGTTATGAATGTAATGAACAAACAAAATTAAATCGAATTGATTGGTTTATTATATTAACATGTTTAATTACATGTTTATGTATTATTTTATGTTTTTTATGTATACCATTTTTATATAATTTTTTAAAACATGATTTTTATCCACAAATAATTGAATGTACACGTTCAACACCATATATTGAAATAAATTCACCAATATCAACTATATTTAATGGTATACGTATCTATCGAATACCTTCAGAATATTTATTAAGACGACGAACTATTATTGATAGACTTATACCATTACATTCTATATCATCACTTGCTTATTTAACTCGTATTAGAAATATGAGAAGTCAAAGAAGAAATGAACAGATACATATATGAATAAATATATATAATTCATATTTTTTAAGAATAATGTAATATTTTTTTTTTCAAAAAGAATGAAATTTGATGCTTTGTTTTTTTTTCATTGATAATGAATAGTTTTGCATTAATATTGTTTTTGGTATATAGTGTGACAATGATTCTTTCATGAAGATTTGAGTGTTTTCTTGTAAAACTATGTAAAAATATTTCGTTCAAAAATACTTACCAAAGATTGAAAAGTGTTTTGGAAATTTACCTAAAATCAATAATTGAATGCATCTACATTTAGCTTTCAAAATTTTTAGGCATTGTTATTTGTAAGTGTAATCTATGTAACATAGACTTTCTAGTGATTTTTTCATTAATAACCGATGTAAAAGTGTTATGAAAGAATATCGAATTGTCTTTGATATTTTTTAGCTATCGTTTCTGTTTCCATAGAATTTTACTCTAAAGTCTACTTGAAAATAAAATATGATGTTCGATTAACTCTGATTGCTGGGAAAAAATCTTATTTTTCAAAATTTTTTATTAATTGTGAGCACTTTTCGATAGCTTGAAAATTTCATTTTTATCTTTAAACATGTATTTAAATAGCTATTAATTTGGTCATATTTCTTGTCTTGCAACATACAAATATACAATAAAATTTTATTCTTCTTATGATCAGATAGCTCTAATTGTTACTTCAAATCTTTGAAACACTTTTTCATGAAAATAATTAAGCATATGCAGAAATTGAATGATATTCAAAGACCGCCCATTAGTCAATAATTATTGATCGGTAGAAAGAAATTCTTGAAAAAAAAACTAACTACATTAACAAACGAGGACTGTGAAATTTAGTAGATATATCAGTACCAATCTGATATTGATATCATTGAGATAATAGATGGAACTATATTGTATCAAGAGACAGCATAGCTTCATTATCAAAAATCATTTGGCAAAGTGGTTGTTGATATATTATGAACATAGAATTTTTATAATACACGTATATTCTTATTAACTTGATGGTTTTTCTCGTTAAAAATATGTCTAGATTCATTTTAGTTGAATCTCTATTATATACAGTAGCTTCCAAAAATTATTCACTTAGGTTTATTTTCAATTTGTTTTTACAGCTGTAACTTCTAATAAGAATCCAAATATTGATTTGGATAGAGAATTATCTTTTTGAAGATGAAAATGATTGATAATTTTTCAACAATAGGATCTCTGGAAAACCAAAAGCTTTTGATCGCGATACATCAATCTTGTACAAACCATACAAAATGATGTTTTCATATTAACTAATAGAAAAATGAATTTTATGTCTACCTTAAAAATTATTAAATACTAATCATCAATATGAATAATTGAAATTAACAAGAAAACAAAGAATTTTTATCAAAACAACAAACAAACAAATACTATTTGATAAAATATTTTATTTTTAATGAGTGACTTATTACAATTAGACTTTTATACGAAATTTTTTTGCAGTTCAAAACATCAAAGATCAAATTCACAAATAAACGCTTTTCTTTATTATTGATTCAATAATTATTACAGAATCATTGATCTCTATAGTATATAAATTTCTAAAATATTAATATCATTAATCTATTTTTATTTAAGAAAATAATCGAAGGTGTTATGAGTTTAGAAATAATAATAACAACAATGATCATTTCTCTCACTTTTCCTTCTCATTTGGTGAGAATACTCACACATAACCATGCGAATTTGTTTACTGACAACAATGTGTGAATTGGCTGATTCCACCAGCAGGTAAACAATATCGAAAAGAAAACGATGCACATTTACAGGATATGGAAAAAACAATTTATTAGTTTAACACATGAAAAAAAGTCAATAGAAACAAAAGAAAAGAAAAAGAAGTTTTATTTTCTATTATATAATTCAATTCATTATTGATGATTATCAAGTACTTGACGACGCCATTTAATACGACGATTTTGAAACCAAATCTTAATAAGACAAAAAAAACAAATAACTTTTAATTCATAGCAAAAATTTCTCAACAGAAAAACAAAAAAGACTTAACATTACTTTAACTTGTGCTTCACTTAAATTAAGTAATTTTGCTAAATATAAACGTTCATTACCAACCATATATTGTTGTTTTTGAAATTCAATTTCAAGTCGTTCAAGTTGTTCTGTTGTAAATATTGTACGAATACGTTTTGATTTTATTTTTAAATTTAAATTTTCAATTATTGATTGTTCAGATTCATATGATGATGATAATAATCTTAAATTTTCATTTGTTTTAAGTTGATTAATAAGATCATAAGATGATATAGGTGAATTACAAAATGAAGATGATGATTCTAACTGTACATGACCATCATCACTTGAACCATCTTCAGTATCATCAATATAACTTGAATTTATAGGTGTTGGTTTTAAAAGTGAATCAATATCAAATGAACATTTTTTTGTTGATCGTTTAATATTCGTATGACATCTAAACTAGAAATGATGCGTAATTGATGAAATTTTACATAGATATATACCTTTTTTGTTGTTGTGATTGAATAATTTTTTCATTTGAAGATGTTGGTTGATCAAACATTGTTGTCAGTTTGAAGATGGGAAAATGACAAATTGTCAATCATTAAATATGGATAGATTTTTTTTCTTTTCTTTTCTTTTTTTCGTAACGATGATGAATATCATTCGTTGTGAATAATTGGTTAGATTTTGTAAAGATGAACAAAACTAACCAATGATTAAGCAATCCGGAAATTCAATTAAGATATGATCATGTTTAAAATAAATTATGTAGTTTATATACTGAATTTCTCCTGCGTCTCAAATAAAAACAAACATCGTCTAAATTCAATAGATGAATTAATTCGAAAAATCTGTAGATCAGAATAAAACATTTAATTTTCCTTGCAATTTTATAATTTGAATTATTTTACATTGAAAGTTTGAAGTTATTCTCGACAAGATGATCTAATAATAATGTTTCAACTTAGATCAAATATTGACTTTTCAAGTATCTGCTATTTGATTCAGGGCAAGGTTTCTGTTGATTAATTCGATTATGATCAATCATATAATACAAGACAATTATATTGTGCTATGGTGTCAATAATCTTTCGATCGTTTTAACTTTTCTTATGCGGCAGATTATTACAAGTTATTATCCTTAACACTTTGATTAAAGAAAATAAATTTTAGATCGAGAAATTTATCTTGTTCAAGATAGTGACAAATAAAAAGATAAAATAACCTAATGAAATTAGTATTGACAAATTTCATTAATACGAATAATAGTAATAAAAACAATCAGCTAGTGATCAGAAAGTGTTCATATTCTTTTTTCATATTTCAGGTGCATATGTA